CAAATCATTCTAAATTGAAAGAACAATATTCCACAGGGAATTTGCTGCTCTGGTTGGACAACCTTACTTTTTAAAATGTTATTTTTTTATGATTACCTGTATCACGACTGGCTGACCTACCAAGTGATCAACATATGCCAATGGTGAAAAGAATTTGGTGCATCCAGTGCTACCCTTATGTATGTCAAAATGAAAACAAAGAACAAAAGTACACTATAAGGCAAATTCCACAAGTGGTACAGTGACCAATAACAATGCAAGTGGAATAGCCACATGTATTAAACTGACCAATCATAATGTAGGTAGTATATTTTTGTTGGCTATACGGTTGGATGCCAGAATATGTTCTAGAAATCAGACAACATTTAACTGCGCACATGAAAGTTCAATACTTACATTCTCCACATAAGCAATTGGGTCATGTCGACTGGGCTTCACATCTAATTGTTGGTGTTTCCAATCACATACTTTCATATCCCGCTCCATGTGAATCCAAGCTATACTTTTAAATGCTATATCGATAGATACAATACTTTGAAGGCTCTGATAAGTAAATAAACCATTTAGACAAAAGTAAGTTAGTAATTATTTATACCTAGGAGTTATTGTGAACACATTCAGTAATGACAGTTGTGAAGTCAAATGAAGTCTTTTTAAGGCAATAGCCAACTCTTATTCGATTTAAAATTTTGTGTACAATGATGTATTGTTCGCATTTATGCGCTAAATTTTCCAAAGCTAATCTGAATGTTGTGTGTGTTGCATAAAACAATGCTTTTTGGGTTATTTGATGTCAGTTGCAACTTGAGTATTTCTGAAACTCAGATTGTAAATGGTGTTAGGTAAATAAATTTGTTGTCGCAACCATGACAACTTGAATGAATATGAATGCCACATGGACAAAACCAAAAGGAAATGAAGCATATTCATGATCAAAACGTACCTGCAATCTTTCCTCTGACAGATTTGGTTTCATTGCAAAGAAATTCATTTTATTACTGGTTTTAATGTTTGATTTCTTCTGCGTCGCTGACTGGTTCCCGGCTATTTTGTCCATGATATCGACGCAGTAGAACTGCATCATTTTTTCCCCAATCCCGCAGATGCCAACCAAAGAATGTATGTCTTTAAATAACCCATGTTTTTCTCTGTGTTCTATAATCTCTTTTGCCGTTCGGACTCGTAAATATTTGATATTACATAGTTCGGCCTCGTCTGCGTTGTTAAATCGATCCAGCAGCAACTGTCTTTCGTTCTCCGTATATAAATTTGTCAGGATTTTCTGTGCTTTATTACGACGAATTTTAAGTTCTTTCGTTTGAGTCACGTCATCGTCTTCTGTTATTGTGGGATGTTCAGTATCTTCGCATGACTCCTTGGCAGTGCTGCATTGTCTGTATCTTGTTGCCAAGCACTGATGCAAACGAATCTGATGAGAAAAACAGAATCTGTAAATATGGAAGTCGTTGCTGTAATGATGTTAGCTAACTTCTATACAAGTGTGTAATTGTAACAAAAATATACAATTGCATAGATTTTTTTTAAACAATTAAGGGAACGGGTGCAGCGCCCTCATGCCATGGCCATGTGCCCCCTTACCTTGGGGAGCAGATCCTCTGGCAACCATAAAATTCTGATTGAACAGGGATCACATGTGGCCAACAGTCTTCAACTGTGACCTGTCTGATAGTAATCTTAGCCCCAAGGAAGCCATTGAATGCTCCATTTTAACTTAGAATTATCAAAAACTCCACACCCTGGTAGGGAGAACCTTATCTCCCCCACTTGGTGGCGCCGCTGAATTGCAGTGCTCTCTCTTGCAGTTTTTTTTTTAGAAAAACCCTGCAATTGTTACAATTATTATGGCAGGGTTTCCAGGGTGCAGCTCACTTATTACATCACAACTTTGTGTTATGAAAAAAATAATAATATTGACATCAGCTGGACATATAGAATATACTTTAAATAATATTAAATAAATAATTATATTTGACGTACTAGGTTTGTTAATATTTATATAAATATTTCTATCTCTAGCAGGGTTGCGAATTTATCCTGATATTTTACGTAGGGCTTTATTTGGGCGTCATATTTTGTCTTTTTATATGTATTTCTCATTAATTTTATTGATAATTTTTGGAATAAATGGACATGTTATATGTACTGGTCAAAATGATTGTAGAACTATAAAAAAAAAATTACGTAGGTTATATTATGTAAAAGTGACGGTTTCAACATTGTTAAACAGTTTGATACATGTTACAGTGAGTGACAAAAATCTGAACCTCACTTTATAAATTCAAATAATTTATTTTGATTAACTCGACATAACATTCTTTAAATTACTTTAATTTTGAGATTGACAAATATTTCCAGCAGTAAAAATGAAAACCGCTATCTCCCAATCAGGGAGCTGTATGAGCATTACAGGTTCCTGCTCCCAATAGAACGTTCTTAGCATTGGTAGCGAGATATTTTCATGATCAGTTTATTCTGGCGCCTGCTGTAATCAGCTGACAATTTAAACACATTAGTACTAAAGATATCCCCCTACTTGTTACCTCTACATGCACCAAACACATTTTACTGCAACGCATCAGTCAAATTCGTGTTGTCTGATTTTATGTGTACGAGTCCGTGAACTACATTTAACATGTGCGTGCGGACGACGCCAAAAATTGCACTTTTAAGAGTTTAGTTTCCCTAGTCATATCCATTCAAACAGTTGACTTACCTTAGTTCTGACCGATCTCAATGCACACACGCAAAACATGTCTACAGACGACGACAGTCCGAGTTCCAAAAACGATCACTTCCAGCAGAACGGAAACCCCAACAACATGGCGATAAATACGTCACAGGTGAATCCTCTGAACATAGATTTCAACATAGAGGGCGCTGAGCCGAACAAATAATCAAAAAAGATGACGAAAGAGACGTTTGTGTCAAAAGTTATCGAACAGTTTTGTGAATTATTTATCAATAAAAAAAAAATCGCTACAGCAGTTACAGAGCGTATAAGGGCAGTACCATTTTAAAATCCAAGGAGGGATTGTAAGATTGGGGAGGGGGTAAACATAATACTTGTGCAACGATGTGGGATTTCTTTAGTTTTGAGTTCCAGAGCAATAAATCAACTACTTTGGTTTTGACTAAAGAAGATAACTAACAATTTGAATATTACCCTTCAATCATTCTGTCCTCAACAAATAATAGTCATCTCTTAAAAAAAATATTTTTAATTTTATAAGGTTTTACAGAACGGAAACATATCCAAAGTTCGTCAAATCTGCTTTGTCAAACAGTTTTCAGCGATTTTGTGAGCAAGTTTGCTAACTTGCTGCCCAAATACTTCTTCCTTTTTTCCAGGGAAGTTTCCAATCTTCCAAGTCTACTACAGGTGCTCTGTACCTTTCATAACAATATTATAATTTTGAGAACACGAAAAATAGTAAAAAAAAAAAAAAAAAATCATCTCCACTCACTATTAAATATAACAGTCTGTAAACGAAAGTGGGATAGATATATTCCTCATTTTTATTATATATTTGATCTCATTATCAACAAAATAAGCTGAGCGCCTGTGTAACAGATTATCTTTATTTAAAGGGCGGTAGTCGTCGTGCTGCGTCCTGTTCGATATGAGACTCATAGCGAGTATACAACGCGTGTAAAATACATTATTTATTTACATGAAATTCGAACACGCGCTGCGCGACGACCACTGCGCTTTAATGCGTTGATCTACTATTGCAGTTTCCTTGATGAATAAACACAAGATGAACATTTTGTGTAATAAGGGGTCAACCATTTGAAGTTGAAGAGGGTGGTGGTGGTTGGAAGATTGTTCAGATTTTTTTCGCAGTATTTTATTTGCACATTTTAATTTTTTTAATGTGCCAACATGTTTGCCTTGCAACACCTTGTATGCAATTTTTCTCTCGGTGTTCATCTTGCAATTTTTTGTTTTTAACAAATCTTCCAGCCACCCCAATAATTTCAAACAGTTGACCCCCAACCGATGAATATACAATTCTATTTTTTACATAATTAAAACATCAAAATACACAAAGAAGAGTTTTATGCCAAAGAATATCATATTTTATTGTTTGTATTAAATTGATACAGTCTTATATTCTTCAAGTTCATTGTAATGGAATGTTACATTTAAATGAAAAAAAACAAAACAAAATTATGTCTATGACGATGACTAAAATATGTTTCAGACCGGTAATGCTGTGTAGAGGTCTTGGTAGAATCATTGCATGCGCAATCCCAACCAATACCAAAACGTCTCTTTCTACATTGATTAGAAAACGTACAGCTAAACATTAACACACCTGAAAATAACATATTTGCTCTATTATAATCAAGTCGATGAAATAGACAGCATAAATGTATCGATGTGAGAGGGGTGTGTATGTGAAATTACACCAAATATTTTCGACTGAGTCTCTTTTGAAGACGAACTTCTTAATAGAGCAAATACAATATCTAGACAAGGTTTGAAATACCACAATGGATTTACTGTAAGAATGCTCATGTGATGAATCATTCGCAGCTTGCTCAGTGAAATCCTCTGGATTGAGTATTTAAAGTAATCGCGAAAAATAAACGATGGAATAATATAACTCATATCTAAGTCTTTTATTCATATAACAGCAAAACCCTGGGACATGACACAGAAAGTATTATTGCCGGTTAACTATATAGTATCAGTCAGTATTTAATATCCAAAGTAACAATGAAAAATAATTTTAAATGTACTTGTAGAATCATGGTAGAGGATTTTTTTTTTCTTATTCAAAAGTGAATCTAATATATGCCACTAGAGGGCGCTATGCACAATTACAATTAAATTTGTTCCACTGATCATACTTAATTACAGGTACTGGTATGATTTAAAGTGTGAATTATACCTTCCTAATGCTTTTTTTTTTATATATAAAAACCCACATAAACGCATTTTATTTTTAAAAAGTTGTCTATAATATAAACTTGTGTACAAGAGTCATCAACAATTTCAGTGTCAAAGAAAAACACTATAAAATGTTTCAATATTGCATAAAAAAAACAAAACAACAACAGAGTGATAAACAAACAATTGATACATCTCATGCAAGCTAACCATACCCAAACATACATAAATAAATCATGGTCAAAATAAAGCTTAAAAGTCTAATAAATTTATTAAAAAAAAAAATAATTGCATATTTGTTTTATTAACTTGGGTATATTCAACTATGCCTTGTGGTGCAGTTAGGATCATAAGTCAGACAAATAAGTACTATAAAACACATTAAGTTCGCTTGGAATTTATTTTTGCTGAAAAGATGATTCAGTGAAAATAAAAATCCAGTGATTATACTTTTTTTTTAAATTTTACATTAAAATCATCAAATATCATTTTAGCGAAAATTAATTTAGGTAAAATAAAGTATTTTACAGTATCATTTTGGCTCTATAGATAGGGCTTACAAGACAGGTGTGTCTGGATGGTCAAAATAAATCCCATTTCAACAATGCACCATAAAAATAAATTCAATGTGTAGTCTAAAGCAACTCTACCCAAGTAAACATGCTAATGATACTCTCAAACTTAGTGGTGACTGCAAACAGATTTGTATTCTGTTTATATTGTAAATTATTTCTCATGTACAGATTTTATTTTTTAATGTCTATTTTTTATTTAGCCAGTCTATTCTGAAACTACCAGATGTCTGGTGTATTTACCAGCATTGTGTTTGCTTTTTTAACTTGTTGTTTGGTAACACAGTAATAAACATCAAGTGGAGAAAATAATTGTGAAAGACATTGAGCAGTTATGTATAATAAAAATTATAATGCGCACATAATTGTTAAAAATTATAAAAAAAATGTTTTTTGTTTTTTTTCTAATTTGAAGAAAAAGTGTGAATGTAGCATGATAGAATGGAATGTGAATTTCAATTCAGAGTTTTTTGGGGAACAGCAATACACAATGAATTGATATAATGTATTTGAACTTGTGGTAGCTGTAGCCATGCAAATGCCATTTGTAAAATTAATAATATCATGCATATTTATCAATGGAATGGAAATGGAAATAATTTTCCACTGGTCAAAGGTCTTGATAAAAATGTTGAGAGAAATGTGGAAAAAATTAACGTTGATTATTTTGAAAAAAGCGATGACAAAAGTTGAGATATGATATCATGTGAAGAATGCCTCAATCAAAGAAAAAAACAACTCTGTGATTTATTAGTGTTAAACACTGAAGTCAGCAAAGGCATGTTTGTTACAGTTTATTTACATACCATTTCTAAGCTTGTGCAGTGATGTCAGTGTTCTAACCAGAGTTCTAACACATTTTTATTTATGTGTGATCACTAGCTGAATGGAGGGTGAGTACTGACTGAGCCGATGCAACCGTCTCGATTTGAATTCAATTGGCCTGCTTTCAAATGAAAATTGGGTATATACATTTTTGTAAGTATAAACATGCCTATGTTGACTTCAGTGCATGTAATACTATTTCTAGAAGGATATCAACATGACACAAGTCGCAGTATTTTTAATGCTCATATAAGGTTGGAAGATTATTTCATAACGTTCAGAACGATGATATTATGCTAATTCTTCTATCGTGATCGATGTTGAAATAAAGTCATCATTATTTAAGAGTTTAGGATTCAGGATTTGAAAAAAAAATCCAAATTGAAATATGGGCCTCTTTTGACCTAAGCCCACTATGGTCGGACTGTAATAATAAGAATGGTTTTAATATTATGAAATTCCTAAGAATTTACCACATACTGATGATAAAATATTATTTAACAGTAATTTCAAGGATCTGAAAAACCAGATTTTTTTGGGGAAGATTTCTAGTTTCTGAATCTACCAGATGTGTATTTACCAGCATTGTTTTTGCTTTTTTAACTTGTTGCTTGGTAACACAGTAATAATCATCAAGTAGGATAAACAATTTTGAAAGACATTGAGCAGTTATTATAATTATTAAAATTATAAAAAAGCTGTGTTTAAAAAAAATAAATGATATGTTTGTCAGGTAAATATGAAACAAAGCGTAAAAGTCAGGCACGTATAAATGCAGAACTTGTCAGATACTTTGGCACTGAATCAGAAAGATGAAAAAAATAACTAGGAGATATTTCGCATGCATGTACATATTTCATTGGTTGCTATGACTACTGTTTCTGTTCATTATCATCGTATTCTGCACGTATTGCATCTAGAAAACTAGCTCCTGATTCCTCCATCTTTTTATGGTGTTCTGTGAAAGATTTCTGTCTCTCCTAAAACAAAGAAACAAAAAAAAAACCATTGTTTACAATGACAATTGAAAAATGGTGATTTCTATCACAACCTCACTTCTGGGGGTATTGATGTATTATTTGTGTTACGGTATTACATTCCAATTTTGGGGGGTATTCATAGACAGTGAACTATAGTCACCTGAGTACTGGTAAGTACCCCAAGATATTTGACCTTCAGTGGCCATATCATGTTTTCTGTGTTTTTGCAATAGTAAACCATTCACCAAAAAACAAATTTGTTCATCATTTTTGTTAAATTGTATGTATTCACAATAGTAAGCATAGGCGCTTATGAAATAATGCTGTAGCAAGCAGTTAACATAGAACACAGCAGTGTTCAGTTGGTGTGATTCCATTACATTTATTGGTCTTTCTATTTTAGGTGTATGTACTTCTAATACAGTAACATTGACTTCAACACGTACTGCATACAGAATTTGATTAATTCACTGGTATC